GTCGCAATGGTATAGTGCAAAGTGGTGTGAAAATGAGTATTGCAATTGTAATGCAGTCAAAACACATGCGTGTTGTGTATGGTAAATGACGTAACGCTAGATTGTGTAATAGGTTGAGCTACGGACGAAAAAATCAAAATAGAGTTGTAACAGCTCTACAGAGAACAAGGTCTAGTTTACAGAGTTACTAGTTAAAGTGAGTGTGAAAATGAGTTGCTGTACTTGTCTTCGGAATAATGCTAGGATCCACGGATGAGGTTCTGCAATGTTTTAGGATCATCCGAACCTATTGATTGCATTGCATTGTGTGGTCCATCAGAGTCTTTTCTCTATCATCCTAACCTACACAAGTGGTACAATTATATCTTTAAAAATGCATATAGGGATTGGCTCCAAACATGAAGAAAGAAAGAACTATAGGGGTTATTCCCAGTGTTTTCTCGTACTTGCACGTATATAGAAAGTGAGCGGCGATCACGCGCAGCGTATGATTTTACGCATGCGCATTGGAGTCCCCCTTTGTCTGAACATCTTCCTACGCTACTGTAATTACACAGCTTAGACACACAAAGCTACATGACACCATCCATTTATCTTTGGTCTGATAACTGTGTGTGGCTAGAGTATTCCCGAGGCCTTTAGAAATGCCTGAAAGATTAGACTTATTGCTGTTTGTTGTTGGTGTGCTCGATGTTGTCATGGCTATTCAGACACTAACTATACCACTATGGGATACCAGTGCACATACTACACTATGGGAAAGGATGAATACCAGTGCACAACTTGGCCACGATGACACAAATGGTCCATCGGCCATTATGTGCAGTGGTGTTCTCTGCATTATACCAGGTTAGACCCCACACAAACCATAATTATTAGGGGGTAGTGGTGTGCCATGCATCGCAAAGGTCTGTGGGTAATACATGCTCTAAACTGTGGCACTTACGTATTGCACGTACCATACATAGTGTTAGCACGACTAGTTACTCGTTATTCAGTTAATGTAAGTCTTACCGTGTCATCGTATAAAAAAAGTGTATGCACCACTTGTGTTTAGAATGCTGATGGAGGATGAATGTGAGCCTGTAAACTATCTGCCTATCTGTAAATCAGATAATTAGTCTGTTAGCACCCAATAGCCACACACGAAAATGTGTGCTAGACACATGTGCAACTGTACACATGTATGCAGCCATAGTGTACACTTCTGAGGTCTAGATTTGATGATATGATAGTCATACATGTCATGTGATCTCCCTCAGCTCACTGATGCAGTGTCATCGTAAGAAGACAGCACCATGTGTAATGAGGAGAGGATCTGCAACAACCGATGGCCGATTTGCATACTTCACCCCACGTAATTCCAACTCAGTCTACCAATATGAATGTAGTACAGAGAAATGGGAGGAACTTCCTTCATGTCCATATCAGAACTCTGGACTAGTCATTATAGACAGGGAACTAACTGCTGTGGGGGGATTTGTTGTGGGGGGACGGCGTGGATCTCGTCGTACTAACAAATTTTACACACTACGACAGAGGAAATGGGTTGAGAAATACCCTCCAATGAACACTGCACATTCCTCTCCTGCTGTAGTTACTACATCTGATGGCGAATACCTCATTGTGATTGGGGGGTTTGTTGGTGGTAGTTGGACTGATACAGTTGAACTATTTCAAGTGAAGAGCAGAAGATGGTACCAACTAACAGACTTACCACAACCTCTCCGCTATCCTTCAGCCACAATATGTGGTGATCAGTTGAATGTGATAGGAATTGATGCTAATGGCTACTCGTGTTCTCTTGCAGCCCTACCATCCAGTGATCAACCAATCACATCACCTCTCACCCTATCCTGGAAATGTCTCCCTCGTCTACCAGTGGAAAACTCAACAGCTGCCTCTCTCTGTGGACAGCTAGTACTCATTGGTGGCAGTCGAGATTGGTCACCAGTCAACTCCGTTCGCCAGCTAGTGGATGGACAGTGGGTGGAGATTGGCTCTATGACTAGTAGTAGGAGTGAGTGTTTAGTAGCCAGTACATCACCTTACAAGATCATCCTAGTGGGTGGAGATAAAGGAATTCTTCAGTATGTAGATGATGTTGAAGAGTGTATTGTTACACAAATGTACTTTTTCAGTTCGCACTAGCAGAAGTTGCATTGTTACACAGCGATTTTGCTGATTTTGTATAAATTATTTAATGATTATTGTAGACAACAAAGATTAATTTTGAGTTGAGAAAACAAAAAACAGTTGCTACAGAGTGTTACGTAATAATCTAAGATGAAATTGTCGTCACAGTTTCTCTACATATTGGACATGTGTTGTGTTCCTGAACGGAAGAAGGAAAACAATAATCACCACACAACAGTACACCTTTGTTCTACACATAAGTTCCCCTAACATCATCACAGTGATAGTCTTTGTACATGTACATCGGACATTCCTTTGACACATTTGTACACACAATAGGAACATTTCCAGCCATAAACTATGAATGGTAGAGAGAAGAGGGGTTTTGGGGAAGAAAGGGTGGAGAAGGAAAAGAGAGAGAAGAGGAGAGAAGGTAGAAATGGTGGACACCTTGAGCCATCTGTCGATACACTTCTGGTGGAAGTCATGGCGACAGGGTCTGAGGGTTCTTAGCTTCTCCCTCGTCTGGAACTCACTCATACACACCACACAACTGAGGAAGGGAGGGAGGGAGGGAGGGAGGTATCACCAAGACAGAGCATTTTCTAAACCTCACAAAAAGTAAATAGCACTCTCTATAAAGGACACTTTTGTTCAGTTCCATACCTTTTCTTTCTCAGCATCCACTGCAGTATATATATTAAGTGTCATTTGCAGCAACGATTCCCTAATATTCGAGACTGCAATGGCTTCCAATTTCGGAGACAACGGAAACCTCACTATCAATGTCACAATCTACAAGACATCATATTGTTGACACACCCCTGACATCTGTAGTCATACATATTGTTCAATTATTTTACTGTTTATGTAGTTTGTGTAGCGGTAGTGTACTTATGCGCATGCGTACCCGATGTTCACAGGGGGAAGGCCTAGGCGGAGCCTCTGGACCAGGGGGGCGTGGCACGTAAGGTAAACACAAACTGCTATATAGAACCGATCAGCTTTTCTCTCCACGGATGGGGGAAGGTTGGTATTTTTAGTGCGTGAATAAAGGTGATAATGTAGTTGCTCGCGCAGTCCCAGCTGCCGATGAGACGCTAACGCCAGACGATGCCGCGGACGTGCTGGAGTCGAGGAGCTACTACCTGCACAGACCAAGTCCTACGAGCTGGGGCTCAAGTTCAAACTGCCGCAACACGTCGTGGAAGCCATCCACGCCAAGGACGTTACGGCTGATCAATACCTTCTTAGAATTTTGATCAAGTTCATGCACAGAGTAAAACCCAACCGACATGGAGGGTGATTGTAGAGGCCCTGAAAGCTCCTGCGGTGAACCTACCACGTCTAGCTTCGAGAGTGGAAGCAACTCATTTCCCTGACTCTACCTCAACACGTGATGTGGTACCTGAGACTACTACTGGTATGTTACGATCAGCTCCACTTGTACTAGTTCTCTGACTGGTTAGCTGGTAATGACTCAACTCTCTCAGACACAACAGAGTCTGCAGCCAACACTACTGGGTGATGATGATGAGGTCAAGTCTGAGCCATCTTCTCAACTGAACCCTGCTAATGGTGAGAGTAAACTGTACCTTGGGTTCTAGTTATCTGTGTAACTCATCCAATAGTTACGGCAGTGGAGACTGAAATCAAAAGCCTTCACGAGAGGTTCAACGCTCTAAAGGACCTTGCAATCCAAGGCCTACAGAAGTGCTGTATTGCTGTCCTAACAGTAGTCTACATTCTCACCAACATTCGGACACGCGAACATCGATTATTTCTCAAAGAGAATCACAACACTCTTCGGCAATGTGAAGACCATCTTCATCTGTTTGGATCTCTCAACTTCTACTGGAACTACCTCGCACCTGATCTGCTCGACCACCTGATCGGAGAACTGACTAAGAAACATGAGGATTTCAACACGACTGCTAGTGAGATGGCTGCCTACAAGAAGGAAATGTTCACAAATGTTCTGTTACTTTGCATTGTGTGTGTCCTATGATGCATTATCAACCAGACATCAGAGTCTTTTCTCTATGCAGGTGGCTCCATCCTCAACCAGTTACAGCTCGGCAATTGCTAAGTCTAATGCTGCCAACAAAAGGTAGTAAAACATTTTGGTCCATCTTTTGTAAAGATTTAGAATTCACTCTTTTAGCAAAGAGCCAGACCAAGTGTCGTCAGTGGATGAGGACTATCCATTTGTTGAGGAGCCATCAGATGACTTCTTCTGTCCAGTGACAATGGGTCTTCTGCTCCATCCTCACCTCACATCATGCTGTGGTAATCATATCTCAGAGGAAGCTGCCAGCAGAATACAGAGAGATGGAGGGGCATGTCCGCTGTGCAATAAGAAGGATTGGAGCACAATGTTGAATAAAGGCTTACAGCGTCAAGTGAACTCGCTGCGTGTGTTCTGTCGCCACGAGGACAGGGGGTGTGGCTGGCAGGGAGAGCTGGCTGCCTTTCACCATCACGTGAACTCTTGTCCAATGAGAGACGGTCCTCCCATGACTGAGCTAGTGAAACTGCCAGTGTAAGTCAATGATAGGCTCTGTCGGAGGTTTGGATTATGTCATAATTCCCTACAGATACAGAGAGGCTGGAGCCTTCCCTAGATTGTCTGGAGCCATTTCTCCGCACTCTTCTGACTCTGGAACTATTTTACGAGTGAACAAGGTAATTTCTACAGCCAGTCCATTTTCAGGTCCCAGGTTTTAGTTGAGAATGGCACGAAGGTTATTGTGTGTCTATCCATGCACCATCCGTGCTGTGTAAGATGCACTAAAGTTCGTTCGCGCTGAGAATACACGTGGAAGTAGATAACGATTAGGGCGGTACTATTCGCCCATAGGAATGTATGGGAAAAGTATGCGTAGAAATGTATGGGATCATGCATAACGTGCGTAGCGAGAAAACTACGCAGTGGATTTGAACGGGGTAAGCGCTGAATGAACTTGTTAAGCGATTTTGGTACCAAGCGTGGCCGAATACAGTGCTGGAATTGGAAGTTATTCTAGATTTTCAAGGTGCATTCTCAGCACGAACGTACTTTAGCAATGTAGCAATGTAGCAATGTAAAGTGGGTGTGAAAATGAGTTGCTGTGCTTGTCTTTGGAATAACGCTAGGATCCACGGATGAGGTTCTGCAATGTTTTAGGAGTTACGTACCATACATATGTAGCACCCGTATTATATGTGGACTATTTT